TCGAATGAATAAATTTATTCGATGAGAATTATCCGACGAATAGAAGATACTTTTTTTATTCAAAGTGTTTTAGTCGTAGCGTTGAATAAAATTTTCTTCTTTTATCTGCTCCGTGTAATTCGAGCAGTTCGAATATTTACAGGTAACTCGAAAGTAAGAGATCTGTTCGAATATATTCGAATAATTCGAACATTTACAGGCTGAAAATTCATTTTTAAGTAAATAGAAGTCTTTACGAGAGCTCGAATATTCGAGCCGTTTGAGTTTCTCAAGTAGCTCGCATTTTTTTCAAACAGTTCGTTGATTTCAAGTAGCTCGGAAAATTCAAACGCTCGACTCGACTCGAGCAATCGAACCGAGTTCGGCTCAGCTTGTAAATTACAAGTACTCGCACACCCCTACTGCCTATGCGTGTGACAGAAACAGAGCAAGAACCGACACTCTCTCTGTCTCCGTCACGCACACAGACTGCTCAGCAGGAGTAGCCTGCGACTCTTAAATGACAAAACAGACGCTTGCCCCTCGACCATAGCAGCGAGCTATTCGCCCTGTATGTATATGACAGAAAATGACGACAGAAACTAAAATGGAGAATTGTTTCCTTCTAGAACCACGAGCGTGTGGTAGGCCAGAACAGCCGCCGAACTCGACAATGACCGTGACCACGCCAACAGATCGGAGTTCAGCGAGCACGTATGAAGTCGGAGCAACGGTGGAGTATACCTGTAACGCGGGTAGCCTTCTTATAGGACCGTCGACTCGGACCTGCCTCGACACCGGTTTCTACAACGAGTTTCCACCGATCTGTAAAAGTAAGTAACTCGCGATGTCAGACGCACTTTTAATCCTTACAAGTTCTGCTGGATGTTGAATCAAACGTGGCTTGTTTCCAGGCATCGAGTGCGGCTATCCAGCGAACGTGAAACATGGAGGGTACACGCTCATTAATAATACCGTGACCTATCTCAGCCAGGTGTTTTATTCCTGCGAAGAAGGGTACGAGATGACAGGTAAGAATTAATTTTGGATTAGATAGATTAACATAAAACCGTAATCGCTGGGGGAATCGCTTCTTCTGTTCTATACCGACTGTGCTTGGTGAAGCAAGTAAATTTCTTTATTGCTTTTGCAAATATAATAGTAGAAAATTTTAATGGAAAAAAGAATATGATACTTATGTATCAGAGAAATAAATCTAATGACATAAGCAGATTCCTATTAACCATTCCTGATCCATCCCTGTAAAAATACAACATAATATAATGGCATAGTGACTGAGTTTGTTTTTCTCATCGTATCGTATTTATTATACCCCTCATTACCGTATTTATCATTATATGTGTTACATCAATATCTGTCCTGATGTAATGACCGTATAACACTACTATCCTCTAAATCATTACTGTAACGAGGGATGGTGGTCGTTGCTCGTTGATGAAGAGAAAACCCAGACTCTCTTGGTGGATGTAATTTATTTCCCATCGTTCCACGAGTTTTTAAATACCATCTTTGTAAAATTTTTGTGGTACAGAGACATTTCACCAAAGACGGACTAACTTTCCATTCAGAATAATAAGTTAAGGGTTGTACTAATTACCCTGTTCAAAACCTAAATTTTTTGGCAATTGTCAATAAGCGTTTCTGATAGATCTTTATGAGCTAAATACGGATCTGCAAACCGTTTATTTCAATCAGGTCCAGTTTTTGAAAATATCAAATTTGAAAAAATTGCAAACTTTCAAATTTGGAGCTGTGTTGTGCTTTGACAGTAATAGTTATTCAGTTCCTTTTTACACGAATTAATTCTCTGGAGTCTTGCGAACAAAATGATATAAATTGTTATTAGATTATAGACATCTAAATATGTTTAAATAATGTTCAAAGTAAAAAGCACACCGAAAATGCAGACCCTTCTTGCTGATACTCTTTAATTTATTTCAAAAACTAAAGGTGTAGAAGACTATCTAACCATAGGACGCGATAGAGCAGACCTTTCTTCTCAGGAAAGTGTCAAGGAAAGTTACAAAATCTGCGTTGTTTTAAAGAGGGAAGCGAAATAGTTCAACAAAACACGCGGCGGTGACAGTGGTACTCAATGACGACGGTCGTCTTACATGCCGCTCAGCGTAACGGAAGCGCTAGGCGCGCATGGCCATCACTATCGGCACCGCGTGTTTGCTGAACCATTTCGCTATTTAAAACAAAATAGATTTTGTAACTTTCCTTGAATTTAGAATGATTATACTGTTAATAGCATATGTAAATTAAGCTGATCGTTATTGCTTTCGCAAGAAGATTGGAATTCTCGAGTCATTTCTAAGCTGCCGATAAGAAATTGGTATTCCATAATACATCGGGTTAATTGTGATTTTCTTTTATCGTAGGACGTGCAAGATTGACTTGCGACATCGACGAACGTTGGAACGGACCACCGCCGCGTTGCGAGCCTATTTTATGCAATCCTCCGACACCTGTTCCATACAGTCACATCCAGATCGATGAGATCGACGAAACTGAGAAGATTCCAGGAAAGGCGAGTCAGAATCGAAGCCTTCTCGTTGGCAGTATCGTCACGTATACCTGCGAGAAGGGCTACAGACTCAATGGTTTCAGACAAATACTATGTCTACCTACTGGACTGTATGATCATGTCGCACCTACCTGCACGGGTACACACTATAACTATTTCAATACTATGTAGTACTGATTAGATCATATAAAACAAACCTTTGAGTCTCTGCATTTTGTTACGAAAATAACGTTTGTAATGAGATTGTTAAAATATAGAATTTACACTTTCCTTCTAATAATCTGAGTAGATAGTTTTAAGAAGTATTAAAATACCTATATACTTATCATTTTCTGAACAAAAAAGGAAAGAGTAGTCTGTAGTTTTGGTCGCCTGGGACTGTAAGCTTCCCTGAATGACTGCTTAGCCTTGTTATTACATATTTTTGCAAGAAGAATGATATTCATTTCTATATTAATGTGCCACGAAAGTTCAAATGACTCGTTGATTCAGCTTATTTTTTACAGACTTAGTGAAATTATTGACATTCTCATGTCAATCACTTTTACTAATTCAATTCCATTAAATAATTTTTGACAGGGGTAATAAAATGCAGAATAGTTAAGGAACACTGACCTTTTACTATTCAGCGTGAGGGAACAGCATATGCTCTTAGGATTATAATTGCATAATTATGTACTTATATAATCTCTATATTACAGAGGAGCCTCAAAGCACGGTTACCGTCCCCCCCAAGATAACAGTGCGATCAACTACGGCTAGAACACGTCACACGTTCCTACCGCCTAAGGTGCGACCGACAACCTTGTCAACGACTACCACGACCACCACCACAGTCTTTCCTACCCGGAAAGCTGCCAGTACCGGTGAATTACCAGCTACAGTCAGGGAAACCGTTCAGAAAAAGCCGATCAGCGGTCTACAAAGGCCGGGCTCGTCTACAACTATACTGAACGATGACAGCAGCGATCATCCTCAGGATAACGAGATATCCGGGAGCGGCGTAGACAACGCACAGGTTGGCATCGGGACCGGCGTGCTGGAGCCATCCGGTCCATTCAGAGTGGATAGCGCGAATCAACCGCATAACACCCATCAAGCAAAATTAAATCTGGGCGCTGTGATCGCGCTGAGTGTCTTTGGTGGTTTCGTATTCCTCGCCGCTGTGATTACTACGGTTGTGATACTTATACGCAGGTAAATTCGTTAATCATTCAAACACAGACTGGCAGCCTTCGGTCTGCCTGCTTCCGGTTTCTGTGATCGATAGGCTGCGGACTTTATGTACTGTACTCCGATAATAATACCATACACTTTGTAGTGTAGTGCAGGATTTGATGAAAATTAAAGAAACTTTTTGTTTATTGGTAACTTGACAAAACTTTTCGGAGATTAAACCAGCTTCTGTTTCATTCTAATTTCTGTAGATTGCATGAATATCCGTTGCCTAGTGGTCACATTCATCAGAATGCTCCGAAAGTAACGCCTGTTAATGCCAGCATAATTGTCTGTCTCGGTAAGACAGCATCCTGCTTCATAATACTCAGCTAAATGCCTTTATCGTTACATTATTTGCTTGTACGCAGCTCGAAACTGTCAGGAGATGATAGAGAAATGCAAATACACATATATATATTTATTGTTATACAGTGCTGGACTAAAATATTGACATAACAGGATAAGGATGGAAATTCAAATATTCTATTAGTTCTAGTTTAATACGTGATAGAAAGCAGTAACATTAACACGTTGACTGCATCAGTTTTTACTACTGGGACAATATCATAATAAAATATGTACATTTGTTTAGGTCTTTCTTATTACATAACGATATAAGTCTTCACACGTTGACTTGAATACTCATTACTTTTCTTATTACTGTACTACTAATTTTATATTTATGAGATACTAAATGCTTTTGTTTCAAAATTGAATATTTCTTCGTATAATTTAATGGCTCCATGGCAGTCACCGCGTTAATGAAATTGTGCGTATCGAAAATGTCAGATAACCAAAAAAGTTTGTGCGGTTTTCGTAACTTTTAAATGTCCACATGTCTTCTAATCATTTCAATCCTTTCGGTCGTTCAAGCAGTCACCGCTTGACAATTTTTTTCCAACGCAATACAAACTTTCATGCTCTGTTATTATAAAAATGTGTCTTTTTTTTTATGAAAAGATCTGTTGTAGTTTTCTTTTTATTGTACATCGTCCTCGTTTATAGTTTTTCTCTCTGTTAAATAATTTTGTTCGATGATAGGTCTGAAGAATATGGAGAAAAATTAAAGTTTTGCAACAATGTTCCGAAATATTCGCCAGTGTGACTTGCGTTGCCTTGCAGAAAGAAAATGCCCTTACGGTTTACCAATGCCAGCTACTTTTTTCGCAATTCTTCCTGCACACGTTGAAACTCTGATGAACATAAAACCTCGTGGTGAGCATTTTGCACATATTTTTCGTCATCGTTAATAATGGACACCCTTCCACGGGTCAACTTTCAGTCTCCTATCTCCCACTTTGAATTTTTTGAGCAACTTTTTTCTGCACTATGTTCACTTGCACACAGTTTGTTATGTCGTACAAATCTTCTGGGCTACCATAGTAGTCGTCGATTTAAATTTGAACTTGTAAAAAAACGCGCATAAATGACAGCATTAGCAACAAACATTTTATAGCGAGTTTGCACCAAAAAAGATATGCTGGCCACGAGTTCTCTGTGGTAACTGACACATTCCGAATTTTTCTAGGCCTGCGGCGTGTAAAAGCACTAAAGCATAATAAAACATTCTGACACGAAACGTGGAAGTGACCGCTCAAAAAAACCACACGAACCTTTTCGCTTATCTGACACGAATATGTTTCTTGTAAACTTTATAAGACAAAGATACTAGTGGCACACTCAAATGATAGAGCCTTTAATCTAACTTTTAGTAAATATTGTTCTATTCTTCCAATAGAATCTCTCTTAATGCAATATTATTTATTATACACTGTTTCCTAATTCCTTTTTGCAGTTAATTTCAGATATTGAATTCAAATCCGCGCTTTGTTCTTTAGTTTAAACTATCAGATTGTTTTTACAGAAACATTGAAAATAAAAGTCCCTGTGAATATTAGTATCCTTACATCTTATAGAATATTTTCTTTTGTTCGTAAATGTGTATAGATACAAGTTCACCACCCTATTTCACTCTGACATAAGTTGGCAATTAGATCATCTGTTGTCTAGTATCCTGCCAGCTAGTGTAGATACACAGTATACCAATACATAATCCAATACTTTTTTTTTTTAATGAAAATTATGAAAAAGATAAAATGGCTCTAAAATCTTTTCTTTAAAAAATGAGTATATGTAGTGTATTTGACAATGTCAATAAGCAGTTATAAGATGGTAACAAACTTTAAACTTCCTTTGAAATAAATCGTATATGTATAAAATATAAAGAATTATTTACTGGTACGCTTAGTATATGATATAAATTTGTATATACAAGGTGTTCCATTTCATTGAGTACGGTGGAATATTTCACAAGGTATTGAAGTATAAAAAAAAATGTTCTCATAAAAGTTGCTTGGTATAAAGGGGTATATTATGTGGTACACGTACTAATGGTAATTTTGTAGGTGGAGTGTTGACAGCGATTTCGAGATCGTTACCTTTTTTTACATGAGATCATATATTTTTTTGTAATATAACAGTGGGTTTTGAGACAAATTCAACGATCTGCTATTGATGGGATTCCGTGTAGTAAGTCATAAGTTAGAGCTTATGAGTCACGCCAATGTACCTAAACTATACACTATAAATATGAACAGATTTCGAACCTCTTATCTTTCCTGATGCCTCTTGCATTAATAGCTTTAGCTGCGAACAGTCAGTTTAATACATGCCTTCAGCAAGTCAAATAGTTCAAAAGTGAAAAAGGGAAGTGCCTATTGCATTTTTTTCTATTTTGTGTTCTGACGGTGTTATTTTATTCAGTGTGTGATTTCCAACGTTGTACTAGTACACTCAATTTTTGAAAATATCGTTAAGCCTCCAGGAAAAAGTAGAACTAGTTCGTTTAAGAGGTGATAATTACACCGTCCAACATATGTTAACCTTGGTTTCGTTTTGCAATATCCACTGGGTGGCCCTTGTAAAGTACCTCGTCCTAAACACGAATCCGCAAGCAAAATTACTCTATCGCCCTCAATTTTTGAATGACGCGAATTTTTGTAAAAACGCACGATTTCGGACTAAACTGGCGTATTACGTGAAAACTAAAAACGCTAGAAAGTTCAGTTTAGTCTTCAAATATAGAGGCGAGTTTCCTGATTATAGCAGTGTATACAGTTATTAAATTTTGTAGTTTTTAATGGCTGTAAACGGACGTCCAAGATTAAAAAAGATTCGCTGCGCGTACTTTCTACGCGCTATTTTTGCATTTTTATGAAAAGTTCTTTGTCCAGCACGAATTTGCCACACAGTATCAGATTCGGCAATCTTCGCCTGCTTCGACGTGCCAGTGTCGTAGCTATGCGCAATGGACATTGATAATACATCGATGTCATTGACACCTTTTTTTATGCAGGGTGATCCTTTCGCTGCGAAAATCAAAGGCCGTTTCACTCTAAAAAACCACCATGTCGACGCGTGTGTGTGTGGCTCTGAGGCATCATCAATAGTGAGAATCGGTCGACAGTTACATGTGCTGACACGGCGGTTCTTTAGAGCAGCACAGCCTTTGGTTTGCGCAGCGAGAGGATCACCCTGTATGTATAATGTGTGATGTTTTTCATGCATTCTTGGACACTAATCACGAAATTGCAGAGAACTTCTCTTGAACACTGTCAGTTTTAAATAATTTCGACTTTCAGGGCATGAATATGGATGACTTGTGAATGTGAAGCCACTAAAGAACAAATACATATTTTAATTAACTTACAGATTTGTATCATTATGTTTTTATAAGGTTTAGAACACTTTCCCAAATATGGAAGTATTTTAAACACATGAAACAGTACTTGAAGGTAAGGCAAGGTCTATTTAAACATACTTTAAGCTTTTTTTTATTGGTGATTCTTCAATATTTTTTTAAAAGTGTTCTAAATCTTGTAAAATCATAATAATAAAAATCTTGTGGCTTCACATTCACAAGTCATCTATATTCATGCACTGAACATTTAAATTGTTTCAAACTGACAATTCTGTTACGAGCCAAGGTCGCGAGCAGCGCGAGAGGTCGGCTGAGTATAGGTTATATCGGCGAGTGTAGGTTTTCTAATGAATATGGTCTATCAGTGTAGTAACCTGTGCGGACGAATCTAACAAAAGAATCCTTCGTTCAAGAACAAGTTTTTCTGATTTGAAATAAGGCGCAAAAGGCTTCATGTAAATCGACACCATAGTTTTCGGGAAATATTGATCACCGATTTGAAAAATGTAGTTTCGAGAAAAACGCGTTTAAAGTTTCAAGTCAAGCTTACACGTATATAAAATGTTCATTTTTTAACGCCTGTAACTCTGTCATTTTTAATTGGATTACCTTGAAACTTGCACAGAATATTCTCGAGATGTACTTAAAGAAATTGTAGAAAGTGAAAAATCGATTTTTTGAAAATTTCTGACTGAGCATGACCCCTTAAGAAATGAAAATTGTTCTCGATACGTAACAATGATTATGAGAAGTTCTTTTCAATTCCACGGTTAGTGTCCAAGAATGCTCGAAAAACATACAAAACAACAAACCAACCCAAGGTAATGCCGCTCTAAAAAACCGTAGCGTCGGCATATGTAATCTGTCGACCGTCCTCACTGTTGATGACGCCCTAGGGCCAAACACACGCGCTCATAAGGCGGTATTTATAGAGCGGTACGGTATTTGATTTGCACAGCGACAGGATCACCCTGTGTAAAAAATGGGTGCCAATTACATCGATGTATTATCGATTTTGATTGCGTTGTTACGAGTCAGGGCTGAGTAACTGCGAAGACCAAGAAGGAATGGCAATTTTGGTTTGAGTTTGTTATGTGGACGAACTTGTGTCTATTTTATCACAAAGGTCTTGAAAAAACCTGAGCCTATTTCATTTCAGGGAGCTACTAGGATTATTAGTATGGGTCTCGTAACTATAAGAATTCATCACACTTCAAGCGGTAAAAGTTTAAAAGTGTGCCTTTGTGGGTTTGTTTCTAGCTGAGTATTACATATTATG